AAAGAAAGGTTTCGTATGTCAAGTACATAAGGACCGGTGGTGGGGATAAGCGGGCCGCAGCCGNTGCGCTCGGCGGCGACTCGCGCGCGTAGCGTCATTTTCACTTCAAATTCATAAAAATGGCATTATCTCGGTTAATATTGATCGCATTGAGACGTTTTTTTTTTTTATTTAGGGTAGCTCGACGAGCTCTTTACGATTCTGTCCTCAGAAAAGCTATTAACATTAATCTACCTGCTCAAATCTTGGCAACCTTTTTTTATATATTGTTTATTAATAATTTCTGATAATTTACTTATGCAGTACTGTACACATGCATTATTGTTGGAACAATTTCTTGATGTTACTGCAAAATAATAGTACTATTTCTATTTTATCGATGCATACAGTTTGCAAAAACCAATGATAGTAGGAAAATGCATTATATGTATTTAGTTATGATGATTATGAATATTAAAATTATTATTACAGTAGTAATTAAGAGGTGTAAGTAAAAAGAGAATGTTCTATAGAAGTATATATATTTTTTATTAGTTTTAATATCATGTTCTCTGTTTTTTTGTAGGTACATTTTCATCGTCANAAATAATATAATCGGGAACATTCTTATCAGACATATTCTCATCATCACAAATATTAAGTAAAAACATAGTTTCTGGAACATCGTCATTTTCTTTTTCGTTTAAAAAATCTTCTACAACAGCATCATCATATGGTTGTAAAAAACATGTTTAAAATGTACGTGATTACGTGCCAAATGTTACGGGGAATCATGCGATAATGTCGATGATGCTGTTGTAGAAGATTTTTTCCGCACAACACCTAGCGAACGGCTCCTATGACCAAATATATATTTATTAGTTTAGAAACTTCAGAGCCTAAAAAGATTCTTTAATTGTTTAATTCACGCTGGAGGAAGATGGCGTTGTTCGAATATATATATATGAATATTGCGAGAAAAACTCCAAGTGCCTCGGTGGCCGAATAGGAAAGGCGACGGCACGGAGATTCCAGGTTCGACTCCTGGCCGAGGAGTTTTTTTTCGCAATATAAATTTAATTTCAATTAGGGGGGTATTTGGGATTTCTCATATACGAGATGCAAGTATAGCATCCAATATGAATTTAAGAATTGTTATTTCAATTCTAATTTCACGTGTAAAAATTTACATGTGAACACGTATATATGGATATATATACACGTATAATTTCCGCACAACACCTAGTGAACGGCTCCTATGACCGAATATATATTTATTAGTTTAGAAACTTCAGAGCCTAAAAAGATTCTTTAATAATAAATTTAATTATTTTTATAATATTGACAACAATATTAAAGCTAAAATTACGTGGTTATGAGGTTTCCTCGAGTTCAAATGATAAAAAATCAACTTGAGTATAAAAGGGCCAGTAGGAACCAGATGCAGGAACTTATTTGCAAAAATAAAGACGATGTGTGTGTCGAAACGTTTCAACTTATATTTAAGTCATCTTCAGTCGACAAACTATAATAAATACAATATAGATAAATTGATATGTGGATAACATTTACAATTTGGATAAAAATGCAATCACAAATAACAATCTCACCGTGAAGTGTTGTTGTTGACTCGGGTTGTCACGCATTCTTCCGCCAGCGTATAAAGTAAAATTACGTAATTTTACTTTATACGCTGGCGGAAGAATGCGTGACAACCCGAGTTAACAACAACACTTCACGGTGAGATTGTTATTTGATTGCATTTTTATCCAAATTGTAAATGTTATCCACATATCAATTTATCTATATTGTATTTATTATAGTTTGTCGACTGAAGATGACTTAAATATAAGTTGAAACGTTTCGACACACACATCGTCTTTATTTTTGCAAATATTAAAGCTCTCGTTAAAAATATCAAATTAAAAATTAGAGAGCTGATACGAGCCGATGCTAGATGTATGCGCATTTATATGTATGTACTTACATTATTTAAGCATGTTAAGTATTACACAATAATTTTAATTAAAAGTTTAATGCAAAAATTAATCTTGGATCCTTGATTTACATCTCAATAGATGAAATATTCAATTTTTAATGTCAATAAGAGAAGTAAATTGAGTATTTCATCTATTGAAATACAAATCAAGCATTTAAGATGAATTGTTGAATTGAAATTTCAACTCAAATTATTATACATATAATAATTTACATGTCTAAATAATATAAGTACGTATATATAAATGTGCGTACATTTATATATATAGTTGGCTCGCATCGACTCTTTAATTCTTAGTTTTATACTATTGAATTAAATAAATATACCTGTCATAGGATAAAAATATAGATTTTTGTCTACAGTAAACTTTGAAAATTCTTCTAGACACTCATGATGTACAATTTCATTTGGATCTGGAATTGTATTTGAGATCATCACAAATGATCTCAAATACACCACATATGTGAGGAGTATTATTTTGCTAACACATAAAAAAATATACTAAATAAACAAAATAATAAAAGAATTGTCAATATATTCAAATTACCTAAACTTACTAGAACTATATTGAGCTGTTATTTTTGTTATTCATAATATTTCTACGATTGATATTATTTGTCAATCGTTTAGCTTTTTCAACTTTATATTTAATTATATAATATGATATATAATATGTAATATATAATATATAATATATGTTTACCTTAATAGACTGCATTTCCAAAGGTACAGACGTCTTTGCCTAGGCTGTGTTCAGTTAAGCAAAGTGGAACGAACGAAAGAAACAAATGCAGGAAACGCAGGAAATGGAACTAATGAAACTAATGGAACTAATGAAAGAAGTGAAGAAAGTGAAAAAAAAAAGAAGATTGGCTCCCCTGATCTGTTGCGGAACATGTGTACTGACAAAATTGGAACCGAAACAATTCTTTAAGTTTCCATTCCGAAGAAAGTGAAAAAGGAAACGAGAGAAGGTGGCGCATACGGATTATAATTAAAAAAAAAAAAACAAAATT